TTTAAACTTTTAGAAATAGTAATGATATTTGGAAAAATTAAATGAGCTAGCAGAACAAGCCCAATATTTACAAACAGAGGTTGAGCGTTTGTAGTGTTATTTACAGTAATTGTTTCTAATCATGTTTACTCATATTTTTTGTTTTTGTTTCGACTAATTCTCCTTTCATGTGGAGTATTTTTCTCTCCAATCTTCCAATGCTTCTGTATAGGATGTTGGTTAGTGTCGAGGTCTCCCAATCGTATAACCCAAAATATATTCTACACAGAATTTTCACAATTTATATTACATCTGTATTTAAAATTAAAGTCTTCTCAAAGATTATTAACTTATAAACAAAAATTTCTTTTTACTGAAATTAGGGTGGTAAGGGAAAATTGTGAGATACGTAGCACCATATTTTTTTGTCAGGTTACATAATTGTACAGTTCCTGTTTATTTGTTGGGACAAAATCCTTACTTCTTTACTAATGCAATCATCCATAAAGATGTTAAAGTTATGTTTCAGATTTGGTCCAATCCAGATACCTATCCTTGAATAATAAACTTCAGAACCATCCCAACCCTCCCGTTTCAAACCTTGCTTCTTCTTCAATTCCTGATAACCCTCATGATAAACGTCTGAAAAGAAGATGACCCTATGATCTCTTAATGTAAACATATTCTTAGAGTGCTACCAGTAGATCGTTTTTTAACTAAGTTTTAAGTGTTCTCATGTTACCATATCTGTTTGGACAAATTTACTGGATATATTTTTTTTTTGTAATTAATGCTGTTTTTAATGTTATTGATTCTTGATAGCATTATATTATGTTTTTAGCTCCACAAACAAATAAATTAGAATTAAATTACAACTTAAATCAGATTAATTTAACTAGTTAATAAATCAAATGATATACAAATTCAATTATTTTACATATTTACAATAATAATGAGTAAATGAAACAAACCCATTAAGTAAATCCTTTCATGAGCTTGAACATCATAACAGCTTGAAGATAGGCCTTCCCTAAGGGAGTTTAGGTCTAGATTTTGCCAGGTGACCAGAAGTAGTCTGTGGGCCAGACCCCCTTACCGTGCACCCCCCCCCCCACATCCCTATAAATTGCATATCATTGTGTTCCTTGTAACTATTTATTAAAAACAAGCCAATGTTCCCACAAAAAAAAGTGAACGCACTGCCCCAAAATGGCGTCCAAAGATGGCGGATTGACGACTTTGACTTTAGTTTTTTGGTCACTGAGAATCAGCATTTGGCTTAATTTCCTCATAGTTGGTCTTTTATTAAAGCTGAATAGTTATAGAATAATAAAACATGAAGAAATATTAAAAAATAATTGGCTTAAGCTATGAAAAACACCAGTAAAGTCAATTTTTTTAATAAAAAAATTTTCAAGTTACAAATCAAGCGTCGTTTGTAATTAAACGGCCTTAAAAATAACGCAAAACGTGCTGAAATAAACCATCTGCAGAATTATTTATCTTTCTAAAACGCTGATTATTTTTTACAAATGTTTAAGCAGTTTCGTAGAAAATGCACTTATGCGGCAGAAAAGCGGTACTGGCGTGGGTGCCTACAGGCCTCTACCACACCATTCAGTGCCCATAAATGGCTTAGTTATAGTGATATAATAACATTTTTGGTACATTATATTGGTTTAATTAACGAAAAAATATTAATGCAATAATTTAAATGTAAAAAAAAAATTAAAATTTTAAAAAAAAATTTATTATTTTTTTTTTTTAATTTAACCTCCTTTATTCCGTACGTTGGTCGTTTAAGAAGACCTCAATTGTAAAAATGATATAATTATAATAATAAAAGTTAATTAAAAAATACTTTGCTAAATATCTTGATTTTTTTTTTTTTATTTAACGTTTGCAATTGAACACTGTGTTTTGTATATTTACTGATTCTTAGAAGTAATTAAAATGTTTATATACTTCCCAGGAAATGAGTCATATTAATACCTTTTTTATAAACTAAAATAATATATACCTAATCTGAACTATATATAATGAATAGCTACCGGGTTGTTTAGTAAAACTCATATATCACTAATTAAAAAATTAATTTTTATTTCCTTTATTTTGTGCAGAAGTTGGGCTATATCATAAATAAATAGGAAATTTTAATATTGAATGAATTATTCTCTATGCACAAAGAAAGATAGAAGGGGTGATGCTATAAGTTCTTCTATAAACCAAAACTGATTGTTTGGATTTGATCTCAAAATGAGGAAAAACGCGAATAATACATTAAGGGAAAGAGAAAGGAAGTACTAAAACCTCGGAATAGATAAAAAGAACCAGTACCCATTATTATAGCTAAATGAATGTATAGTAGAGAGATGAACAGAATATTTCAAGATGCTGCTAAAACGGGATCAATTGCAGTTTGGATGATATTAAGTGGACGATGTAGGTTTATTATGGTAAAAACCACTTTATTTTCGATTGCTGAAGGTGCACATCGGGACTATATTTACTTTGAAGCAGGATATAGAGAGGTATATCGAGAAAGTTATAGCTCATAGCTTTCCTTCTGATTTTTTAAGGAATCTTATATTAGTTATCGCTCGTTATTGTTCAAAAATTGCGGAATAAATTGTTTGGAATTCGTACCATATCATAAAAAAAAAGGAAATTTTAATATTGAATGTATTATTCTCTCTGCACAAATAAAGATGGAAAGGGCGAAACCGAACTGCTTTGATAGTTTTGCAATACATAGGCAACAAGCATATTAGAAAATAACATAAAAGGACTGTGGTTTTTACCTTTACAAGAAAGGAGGTACTAGGAAACGTAATACCCATCAAAATCCATTCCTGTTTAGTGTACCAAACAAATTATACTCAAGAATCGTAGAAGCTGGAATAAGAAATATTGTCGATTGCCAGAGTGATATGGATTGAGAAACTTAAGTTGCACATTGGAAGAGAAGTTGAAAATTGGGACTGTCTTCACTTTAAGGCAGGTTATAGAGAAGTCCACATAAAAAGAAAAATAGCTCTCTATCTTCTTAGTGCCTCACACTTTGGATTATGCTAATATCGAACTGTCTTTAAGAAAAGCTCGTTTTCCTTTTAGATTCCTTAACAAATTTTTTGCAAATGCACTAAACAGAAGGAAACCTATGAGCTATAACTTTCTCGATATCTTGAAATATTCTGTTCATCTCTTTACTATACATTCATTTAGCTATATAATGGATACTGGTCCTTTTTATCTATTCCGAGGTTTTGGTACTTCCTTTCTCTTTCCCTTAATGTATTATTCGCGTTTTTCCTCATTTTGAGATCAAATCCAAACAATCAGTTTTGGTTTATAGAAGAACTTATAGCATCACCCCTTCTATCTTTCTTTGTGCATAGAGAATAATTCATTCAATATTAAAATTTCCTATTTATTTATGATATAGCCCAACTTCTGCACAAAATAAAGGAAATAAAAATTAATTTTTTAATTAGTGATATATGAGTTTTACTAAACAACCCGGTAGCTATTCATTATATATAGTTCAGATTAGGTATATATTATTTTAGTTTATAAAAAAGGTATTAATATGACTCATTTCCTGGGAAGTATATAAACATTTTAATTACTTCTAAGAATCAGTAAATATACAAAACACAGTGTTCAATTGCAAACGTTAAATAAAAAAAAAAAATCAAGATATTTAGCAAAGTATTTTTTAATTAACTTTTATTATTATAATTATATCATTTTTACAATTGAGGTCTTCTTAAACGACCAACGTACGGAATAAAGGAGGTTAAATTAAAAAAAAAATAATAAATTTTTTTTTAAATTTTAATTTTTTTTTTACATTTAAATTATTGCATTAATATTTTTTCGTTAATTAAACCAATATAATGTACCAAAAATGTTATTATATCACTATAACTAAGCCATTTATGGGCACTGAATGGTGTGGTAGAGGCCTGTAGGCACCCACGCCAGTACCGCTTTTCTGCCGCATAAGTGCATTTTCTACGAAACTGCTTAAACATTTGTAAAAAATAATCAGCGTTTTAGAAAGATAAATATATTCTGCAGATGGTTTATTTCAGCACGTTTTGCGTTATTTTTAAGGCCGTTTAATTACAAACGACGCTTGATTTGTAACTTGAAAATTTTTTTATTAAAAAAATTGACTTTACTGGTGTTTTTCATAGCTTAAGCCAATTATTTTTTAATATTTCTTCATGTTTTATTATTCTATAACTATTCAGCTTTAATAAAAGACCAACTATGAGGAAATTAAGCCAAATGCTGATTCTCAGTGACCAAAAAACTAACTAAAGTCAAAGTCGTCAATCCGCCATCTTTGGACGCCATTTTGGGGCAGTGCGTTCACTTTTTTTTGTGGGAACATTGGCTTGTTTTTAATAAATAGTTACAAGGAACACAACGATATGCAATTTATAGGGATGGGGGGGGGGGGTGCACGGTAAGGGGGTCTGGCCCACCGTGTAAAGAGGCCTACTTAGAAGCGGGGTTTGCGATCTGGATCCGCTTCTCTTTTCAGCCTTCTCTGCCTCTTGATAATCTCCACCACTGGAGATATTTGTAAATATCATGAATAAATACAAATAAAATAAATAAATATTTGAAATAAGTACCATTGGTTGGAAGACAACATGGTTTTCTTCGAGCGTAATATACTTAATTCAGCCGAATATGAATTTTCATCATCATATGATTAGTATTCAATGACAAACTTTCCTTAATTACTTCACCACAACAGTCCAAAAAGATCACGAAACATTCACCTGCAACCGAAAGATGTGGCAAAGTTGTTTGGGATCCCATAATTGATAGAGGATGCAAACATGCTAGCGGAGACAATGTTAATGCATTTTAAGACAATTATGGATCGGATCGTGGAGGGATCCTATATAGAGTACTATTTATATAAGTTTTCAATATGTTTTTGAATACAATTTGACTAAACTATTTAATAATATATTTTTCATTTTTTTGGCAGTTAAGTGATGCCTGAGGTAATGGCAGTAGAGCTTGCTGACGAGCCTGACTTGTCCACCTTCGAAAACAAGACAGGCCTCGCCGAAGACATGAAGTTCTTGGCGTCCATGCCAGAACTCTGCGACGTCACCTTCCTCGTCGGGGACACCAGGGAGCCAGTCTGTGCGGTCAAAGCTGTCCTCGCATCCAGGAGCAGGTATTTGTTCCTGGAGAAATCCAGCAAACATATAATCTGAGAATAATTTTTATCTATCCTATAATAAAAAACTAGGTGTAGTAGTTTGATAGGTAATATAGTGCGTTTGTATTAGGATTGTGTAGCATTAAATCTAATCCTCTAAGTCCTCATGGGCTTGGTGGTGTTCTCGTAAATTTATTTGCTAAGTACGATAAGATATTATATTGCAGGAAATAGTGTTTTACCGTTTCTCATTGGATATGGTTAGGATTGAAATACACCGAATTGAACAGGAATACACAATAAAACCATTTTTTAAAATACATTTTGCTATTCTTTACTTTCTCCATGAAAAAAAAAAAAAAAAAGGTAATTCTAAAGCGGACCTTACACCATCAATCATGAATGCAAGTCTGACAAGGATTGCTTCAATGATGATGAACGCTACACGTATCAATCACACTGACGCTGTTTTATTTCAGCTTATGTTGAGATAACAGACATTATAGAATACATTAATAATGATGTATTTCATTAAAAAAGCTTATTTGGCCATTATCCTTTATAGCATTGAACATCTAGAGGAAAGTGGAGATATAATAATTATATTCTAGTGACTGAAAACCGTTTCGACAAAAGTTGGCATTATAATAATTTAACGTCAACCACAGGGAAGAGCTTTCGGGCTTTTGCTTCCTTCCCTCCTCCCCCCAAAATGGTAAAATATAACCATATTTTACAGAAAAAAATATTAACAAATATCTCTTAAAGTATTCTTGTTCGTGTAATTACATTTAATACGACTTCAAGAACCACTTAAATACCGTTTCAAATAGGTAATTAATTAATTTCTTTTTTTTTCAAATAATTATCGTAATGTATATATAAAAAATGCTCTCGGGCTGAAGCCCCTCCCCAAATTAAATCCTAGATCCGCTAGTAGTGACGTCAACTTACGAAAATTAAGGAAAAATATTGTGAATATAATAAAATTTTTGAGAAAAAAAGGAAAAATAACTGACAAATCTACACAATAGGTAAATTTTGTCTACAAATAAATTGTGTAACTTTCCACTATTTTATAATTAATGCCCACTTGACTATTTATAGATTGTTTTTTCTATCAATAAATTGTTTAATTTTCCCCTGTTTTTATTTTAATGGCCAGTCGACTATTAAAAAAAAATAATTCAAGATCTTTCATAAAAATATAAAAATGAAAAACTATTTATATTAAATGGAAACCAGAATGCACAATGGTTATGAGACCTAGATCAACTAATCTACGAAGTAGTAAGGTTAGTCTCCCAGTCAGTTTTAGCTCGGTCTCCACACCACTTCTCGTGAGTGAAGCTTTGATTTCAGGATTTTTGGAAATCCGTCAGTCCCTTTCTTCAGTACATCAGTAATAACTAACGGAATGGCATTCTGAATGACTCATTAGGGGTCACTTCAAATAAGACTGGAATCGAACTCTATAGTTGTCTGTACAACTTAGGCCCCGATTTTGCCTCATTGCTCTCCCATTATATTAGGTCAGGAGCTGCCAATGCAGAGCTCGCGGGCACCTCTGTGAGTTTGTGACGTCACTTTTACCCGTAAATTTGCCGGCTATGTCTAACATAACCTTTAGGTTGGGAACCCAAGTATTAGGTCATCGAGATCTCCATTTCTGTATGAAAATGTCTTTACCAAGTCAATCGCTTAGGCGACGAATAAAATTACAGGGTTAATGATGAGAAAATAGGATACTTGATGTTATTGCTACATAAAACTCAGGTTATCATGTTATTAAATAAAAAAAACACGATATTTCAGAATTGATTCACGTTCGGTTGTGTTAAAATTGAAATGGAAACAGTTACATCTGAAACCTAAAAGTAACAATTGAATTAGAAAAGATTAAATTTGAAATGGAAAGGATTACAATTGACGTGATAATGTTATATTTATAAAGATGACAAATAATCAATCATTTTTATTGTTTTTAGTTTTATCTAGGTGTTATTGTCAATCTTGGCTGAAACTATTGCCCTAATGATGACCCATGTGCTTGGGTCGAAACATCAGCAAGCCTAATAAACAATATATATGACTGCATATCCAGATCTTTCGTCATCCTGAAAATAGTATATATTACCACATCTAGGCTCCCCTTTGAGATCAGAAGCATAGACCAAGACTTTCTATTCCGGTTGGGGAGACAAGGGTCCCTCGCAAAAAAAAAGTATTGGATTTTACATTATGTATACGAATTATGAGTGATAATCAACATAATTATTATAAAACGAGCAATATAATATTATATTATATGTACAATATAAATTAAGCAATGTAATTATCTTTGAATATGAACTAAAATTTCAGTAATAGGGATACAGGGCATAGTAAAATACTTCCATACCAATTTCCATTCCTTAGCTTAGCCATCTAAGTCGAATTTTCTTAATAGATTTTAGTTTACATATTTTATTCATTCATATAGATTTATTTTTATGGTTTTTGATTTTATTTTTGTTCTTTGGAATATTGGGGGCCAAACGATATTCCTAATCTAAGCAGGACAATAAATACTATAAAAATGGGAAAAGATTTCGGAATGGTTTTTCCACAGGTTTAAATTGTCACAAGTCTATACAACTTCTGATTGAACTATGGGATTTAAAAATCGTATACGGATTATTTAGGTGTTAGTCGAGTGACACATTTTATCCCATTTCCATTATTTCGATAAATCAAATTTGGAAAAAGAATATAAAACGTACCATAACATTAGATGAGAATGAAATTCCACTGTTTTTAATTTTATTCAATTTCCATAGGCTAGAATTAATGAGAACAAACCACTTTTCACGCCGTTTTCAAACAAAATTTAGAGTAAAATAAATTAATTTTTCAATTAATAAAATATTTCTGGTGCTCATTAATTTTATCTTATTTATTGATTTTTTTTATAAGTTTTGATATTTTTAAGCTAAAATTAAAATGCACTTTATCATTGATTATTTTGATTAATCCTAATGACACCAGGGTTTTCCACAAAATGCTCTACCAAGCTCCTAGTCCACAAAGGAAGAGAGACGCGCCTCCAAAAGAGAACAAACTAAGGATGTTTCTGAAGAGGAGCTCAGAACCTTTATTGAACCTCCAAAATGCTGCGGCTCAAGTATATATACATATATATTTTTTGAAATTTTGGTTTAATTCTTTTCAGCTAGCATTTCAATTTCTCTTTAGTATGGTAATATGTGGGAAGATATAATGCTTTAATGTGCATTTTAAAAATTAAAATTCCCCAGATCTTTCAATGTAGAATTCATTTTCCTCCATTTGTTTTATAATAATTATAGGACGATTTTGAGAGCAAAGATTAGTTGCATAGTGAAGCTTTTTGAGACCCCTTTTTACGATTTGATTTCTGCTATTTATTTTGTAATCAGTAAGTTGTACTTGAAAACATTTGTTAGGACTTGGTTTAACTGAGTAAGAATTAATTTATTATCATAATTTTTGTTTATATATTTTCTCTAACTTGGTTAATTAATGAATTAATTTAATTTTTAATTAATTTGCAATTTAATTTAATCAGTTTAAATAAAAAAATTTCTGTTGTATTATTTTATATTTTTGTGGCTATTTCTAAAAATAAAAACTAATTACGATGGGATTTTCAAAATACGATTACACAAACAATTTAAAAAATAAAACATTTTTTCGCATATCTAAAAGTTGATTATTTTTCTATAATACTCAGAAGGGTGAGATTTTGTGTTCGGATTTAAAGCAAATCTTAATTATCTCCTTGAAAAAACAGGAAAATAATAAATTAACTACTAAACAAAATCAAACCTGGACCAATCAACAATTATCCAAACGAATGCCTTAATAATTATCTGTACTTTTTCCTGAGATTCTATTCAGATAAGGAAAACAAGCGGTTTAACTAATTTGTAGATTTAAAATTATTTCCTTCTAAAACTGGCATTCTTATCTTCGTGGCAATTACAAAATAATAAATAAATTCTTATTTTATAATTTCTTAATTAATAAAAAGCACAGAAGAAGTAATCGACCACAAATTAAGATGGATCGCCAAGGGCAGGGCTCCCTCATAAGAGGCGTGGTCCAACCCATGATACCGAATTAGGTTTAAAGTGCTTAGGAAAATTAGTAGCACTTTGAAGGTTGTTAAAAACTGGAACATAACATATCATTCATTAGGTTTATCGTATAAAATATAAACTATTTTGATATATTCACTCATAAACACACGCGTTCGAGATCCTTGGGAAAAGTAATGAGACTTATTTTTTATCAACTAAAGTTTTTATTTAAAAGAAAAACAATATTGTACCATTTAAAATATTACACTTCGGCAGCTTCAGACAGACGGAGTCGTTAAAGGACTCAAGTGAGATAAGAATAGCGGTCTTAGTAACAACAGAAATGGCTTGTGAGGTCACAAATTCCATGATTGAAATTGCCGTATGACATGAGACGTTATCATGATGAAGCATCCACTTGTCTGCATTGTCTGCTCTTACATGAATTTCCTGAGCCTTTTAAGAACATATTAGTAATACTTTCACTCCTTCAACGTTTTCAACGCTTTTAGAAGTTCATCGACAACGTGTTCTCGACCTTTCAAAAATGATTTTCGCCACTTCAAAATCATGTGCTCCTGATAAGAATTGTTTCCCATAGGCCAGTTTCAACTTTTCAGAGGTCACACTCGCGGAATATCTAAATTTAACATAAAACTTGATGTCATGACGTTTTTCTAAATTCCACTGTTCCATTTCTGTATCACACAACAACTTAACCTTATAACGCTTTTGAAAACCGAAGTGTCGTCTGTGGAGGTGCTGTGAGACAGTGGGTACTTTAAGGTATGACGTGTGTGTATGCGATGTACACTAATGGAGCTAGGATTGATCCCTGAGGTACATCAGCTGAATTGAAGATAGACTTGAACTATGCCATACAGAGAAAAATCTGTCTGACAGAAAAGAATAAAG